CTACATCCCCATCAAAAGACACAAATAACCTTGATGGCTTTGATTTTTAAACAAGCAAACAAACTTTGGCTGAGTAGCACAGCAGAATAAAGGAAACACGATGTCCCACTATAATCAGCTTGAATCATTTCAAATAAACAGCAAGGAAATAAAATGTACCCTGTTTGCTGGCAGGCTTGACGGTTTACAAAGTGCTCACCCCACCCAAATCAAGGGCTTGAAATGGAGCAGCAATAGAACAGAAGCCCCTGATAGCATAAGATTCGCTTTTCCTTGGTACCGTGTTGCCATCCTCAGGGATAGAAAAAGCATCATTAGAGTTTAAGTAAGAGTTTGATGAAAACACGGAGCACCCCAAGGATCAATTTTCACCACAGGCAGCTGCAGCACGAGGCATTAATTCTTCACCCGCTCTGGTGACAGGAGAAACGCGGGGAGCTGTAGGCACAAATAATGTTAAACTTGTAGCGTGTATTTTGCTTTTCATGCCTGCAATTAAACGCTTGCTTTATTTCCTGTTGTTTAAAACTGTGTTTATTCTTTAGCACTGCAAGAAAAACCTCCTGTATTTTCTTCTAATTTGTGCTGGGGACATGTTTGAAGGCCCATATTGTAGACTCAGCAAGTGGCAGAGCAGCCGCCAAACCTTGCTTCCTTTGTTGATTTCTTGATGATTTAAGACCTATTTTCAGCAGCTGATCCCAGTCCCCCCCCCCCCGCCTTTTTGCTTGGTAACTACCATTTTAACAAAATGGTGTTTGTGCAGTGCCTTGGAACCATGAACTGAGCTTTTAAATTTAAGACAGGGAACAGAATAGGAAAAGCAGCACTAAAATCACTGACACACCATGGCTTTTCAAGAGGCATGCTTAGAAATATATGGCAGAACCCTTGAGCTCCTGCAGAATAATATTTAAACTGCTACTCTTTTACTTCATACGAGCTAAAATGACTTGCACGCTTCTGATATTTGTGTTGTTTACCTTCGCCCAGCACAAAGTTTGAAATTATTCTCTGAATCCACATAAATCAGGAAATAAAGATATGAAAAACCCCTGTACCTGACAGGGGGTACATGATGTACCTGGCATTGTTCAGCCTTTTACTGGCTTTGCCTATAGGGACAAACCCTATTGTTTTTTGAAGTACAAACAGGAAAAGATACAGCCTGATCAATGGCTTATTCAGGTGCAGGTTTCCTTCAGAAAAGCAGAATACACTTTTCCCTGCTGATGCTTAGAAGCAAATGAAATGAAATGAAATTCAGTGTAAAAAATGTATCCAATTCTATCAGAATGATTATCCTCTCTCTTCTGGGGAACAACAGAGTCTTTCCTTCTAATTATTCTGTTATGGACAACACAATATTTGGCTTAATAAATAAAACCAGTTTCTACTGAGTATTTTTTACAGCAAATAATTCTATATTTAATGCAGGCCCATAAGATGCTGGCACACACCTTGTTCCCTTGTTAAAACATAAACCTCAAACTTGCTAAAAATAGCAGTAAGGATGAAACAAAATTGTCCTAGTACATTACAGACACCTGAAAATAAAAACAGAAAAGGAGATGACTTAAGGGATTTTCAGTAACATTTAAGAAGTAAGCGTAACCTTTAGGTTTAATGAGCATTACAATACATCAATTACAGAGACATAAGTAATTTAAGGGAAGAGCGTTCACTGGCTGTCAGTTTGGTCACAGACTTCATTTGATTCACAGGGCAGAGACAGCACCCTGTAATTAGCAGTCATGGTCAGAAGCCGTGTCCAAAGCTCCCTGCAGCACACCTTCCTCACAAAGCTGGAAAGGTGAGAAACTCCCCTTCTCCACTGACAGAGGACTCACCCCTTCATCTCCATGTATTGCTGCTGCGTAGGCATCATGGCATTAGAAATGGATTCAGACCCGCAGGGGTGACCCTCACGTACTGCTAGGGGTTTCTACTGCCTGCTGCTTCTCTGGTTGTTACGGGTACCACCATAGAAGGATGCCTGAGCAGCAGTCCCTACTCACTACTTGTTAAACAGGGTTTTTACCTCTTCTAAACGCCCTGACTTGTATTAGGGAGCACTGCTCAGTGGAGACTATTCAGATTTATTCCCCCCTTTCAGAGGTAACAAGTCTCTGTGCAAACCTACCTGAAGTAACTGAGGGTACTAGTGCTAAATCTTCTCTCCCGACTGAATCACCAAAGATGCTTGTTGCCACAAGCGCCAGACAGAGTAAGAGTAAGGAAGCACACAGAGAAACATGCCTAGTGAGGGTCTAGCAACGCGTAGGAGATCTGTGCTAATTCTAGCAATGATTTCTCCTTATAAACTGACTCAAGCCTACTCTACATATGAATGGCAGGATGTTCAGTGACAATACCAAAACTGCTGCTGATTCAGCAAATGAAACATGCTAATCAACAAAGCAATGACCAGCACACAGGAAGATGAATGAAGGCCAAACTACGTATGATATAGTTAACTTTTATTTATTCTTCCAGCTGTTTGACCAGTCTTTCCAGCAAGTTCACAAAAGTCTAACTCTGAATCCAAAAGATTTGGTATTACTTCTAGCACAGTGGATTAAGTATGCAGATGAATAAAGGCATGACTAAGTTTGCAGTGTAAAGGACCTTTGGCAATCATGCATTAAAGGGGCTTAGAAACTAGAGACTTACTACATTCTTTCAATCAAAATTATGACACAGTAGAATTTTGGCTTTTTGATGTTTGTAGCATTGCTATTTTTCTCTTATATTTTGTGGTTCTCACAACCCGAAGAAACTAGCCGAGGTCTGACTGCTCCTTCCAATTACATATATCACATAACAGGAAAGAAAGTGCTGGAAGCCTCATTGCCATTAAAGCAGCCACAATGGATATTGTAAAAAAGGAGATAATAGAAATAACTCCAATTTACTAGATTAGAACTTTTGTGGGTAATTTAAATGCCTTCAACAAATGCTTGATTTGATATGAAATTAAACTAACTCTCTTTTCCAATGTAATATTATATGGTATTCTTCCTTCTGGAGAGATGACTTCTCTCATTTCTATGTCCTTCCTTCCAGCACCCATTTGTAGTGCTAACACCCCCCTACATTCCTCTGAGAACCATCAGGAAGGGGCTCCATAAAATACTTTGCAGGTCAGAGTGTACGGTGGCTTTGAAATAAAGAAAATGTTCATTGAGTGTAAGGACAATATCTTTTCTGCTAATCTAAAAACTGACAAGCTCACAGATTTCATCTTAAACCCAAACAGTTCCATTTCTACCCTCTTCCCCTCCAAAACACTACCTGTTGCAACATGATGAAAAATTCAGACTGAAACCATTGGTTCATTTCCATATATATCAGTGAAAAGTTGGTGAAACTACTGAATTCAACATAAGGAACTGCTGGTTTAGGCATTTTATGTCCTCCAAGCATTTTCTTTCATGGTTTCTAAAACTCTTAGTCCTTTAATAGTAAAGCAGTCTTTTGTCCAAATGTACTAGGACTAAGGTGGAGGATGAATTTTTGGTTGAAAACTCATATTAACTGTGAAGAGTGGACCTCTTTTTGAAATACCTTGTCATTTGTAACATTTGCTAGTCTTTGAATCACGGTAGAACATTGAAGAACACTGTGCTCATGGAACAACCACTACAGCACGGAACGAAACACGAGGATATAAAACATATGATTCCAGGAATCTACAGATGCAACTTGAAGGTTTGTTTTTCACCTTTTGAAAAGGGCTAGAGGTGGTTTTTATCAGGTTTTGAACACTATGAAAACAAATGTTTTACATTAGCCATCCTCCTCCCACCCTGTTCACAAGAGTTTGCTTATTCTTGAACATGTGTGTGGCTTTGACTTTTACCTGAAGAAATGCAGAAGTGGGATCCTCCTGGTATACAGAACAAAACGTGTCTTCAGTCATTTAAGGTTGTGCACTTATGGTGTTGCTATTCACATAAAACCATAACACTCCACGTGTGTTTTAAGTCTGGTGAGGCACTGGAATGGGTTGCCCAGGGAAGTTGTGAATGCTCCATCCCTGGTGGTGTTCAAGGCCAGGCTGGAAAGAGCCTTGGGTGACATGGTTTGGTGTGAGGTGTCCCTGCCCATGGCAGGGGGGTTGGAACTTGATGATCTTAAGGTCCTTTCCAACCCTAACTATTCTATGATACTATGATTCTAAGTCTTGGTTTGCATGCAAAAGCCTAATGCAATGCCTCCAATAGAAGAAATTGAGGCTTAGACCTTTGGAGCTGTTTATAACCCTCAGGCTTCTGATTTTGTTTGCAGCTTGATTTCCAGCCAGGAAATTTAGTATTAAACAGAAACTTTTGCCTATAAACTAGCTAAAAATACCTGTAGCTTCTAGAGGCAAATTATTTGCATGATTCTTAATTGTTAAGCTTCGCTGCTCAAACCCCATCTGCATTTCCTAGGTGGACGTTAGCCTGGAAAGGACTAATTTTAATGGAAAATAATAAGTTTTAGAAAGGGTAGGAGAATACTGCCAATCAAGTAATTTGATGAGATTTCATCACATAAGCAGACAGTAGTGCTACACTGGATAATTTCAAATTAAATGTTTTCCAGTGCCACTGTATCATCTGCATACTGTTCATTTAGTTCCTTCTATTTTAGCAGAAGTAACAGTGTTTTTTCCATGCACTGTTAATTTTATTCCATACTGGAAAGTACCCTGGTCTATTTACAAATTAATTTGGGAAGTGACATCGTGACAGTTTTAGCCCCAACTGGTGTGCCTGACACAAGCATGAAAGAAAGGATGAATAGGTGGGATTTTGTATTTGGCATTTCAGAACTAGGAGAGGTAATGTTTCCAGTTATATACAGTTAAAATTATTTCTGAGAAGACATGTTGAACTTAAGCATTAAGCTAAATACTTGCAGCTCTACAGTATTTCATCTGTTATTCTCCAAGACATCATTCATTCCTTTGTTGAAAGTTTGCTTCTCAGCAGTATTTATCTTACTTGGAAAAATTAGAGGTCTATGAAAGAGCTTTATTTTGTTACAGTGATTTATATAACCAGTTCTTTGCACACTGGTACTAAAGAAGTAGAACTTTTTCATAACGGCAAGGGGAGTTCATTAAAAAAACCCCACTGAAATTGTACAGCTGGAAATAAAAACAAAGCATAAAAACACAACATTTCATATAACATGAGCTTTCAACTGAAATATAAAAAAAAACCCAAACCCTCCAATACCTTGCCATATTAATATCAGACCAACTTGAAAGGCACTGAGAATTGAAGCGTGCTACTCATATCCATACCTGTGAGAGTTAACCACAGCGAGACACAAACCTCCCAGGCAGAACATGGCACTGTACAGTCCATTAGGCATTCCTGGTATGTACGGCAGTTTTGTATTTTCTTAGGATAAACTGGAAATGGCAACTAAATATACAAACTACACTGTAATTCTGTGGGGGGAAACCTATCCAATTTACACCATTTGAAGACAACGAAACAAGGCATAACATATAGGACATTGTTGGCACAAGACTATGTTATCACATCAAAACACACCCTTTTCAATTTAATCCAGTAGATATATATAGGAATGGTGGTGGCAGAGGCAAAGGGCCAGGCCAAACATCAAATACGCAGTTTTAAGCATGTTAGTGAGGTCTTTTGTTTCAGAAACCTGACAAAACCTGAAGCGACCAAAACAATTTCAGAGGCAAGAAAGCACCCATCAAGACAGTCCAACCCGTTTCCAGGCGCTCTTCTTGTGGGCTGCGCGCACAGACTGAAGGATCCGTCCAGCATCATCTCTGTGCCCAAGGCTGCCTAAAGCTTCCCGTTAGCAAATGCTGCCTCCTGGAACTGAGGGACAAACGTTTTGAAATATGCCCTAGTTAAAAAAAAAACAGAAAATGCATGGTTAGGAAAGGATAAACTTAGAACTTGATGTGAGTGTGTACGCAGATAGGGTTTTAACAGAGAAGCATAATGTGACCATGCTCAGTGCAGTATTAGATCTCATAAATGAGTCGTGTTTTTCTTACAAGTGTTTACTACACAGTAGATCCATACACTTCAGCTTTCTAGACCCAGCAGTACTTCTTTCCCCAGTGTCCTCCCCACCAACCAAATGGTCAACATCAGCAACTTGACATTGCCCATATTCTACCCAATGCAAAGCTCCAGAGATAAACTGTATTATGCACTGGAAAATAAACCTCTGAATGGCTGTAAAAATGAGAAACACAAGTGTGGCTATGCCACGATCTGCAGCGTTTTATAACTGGGACTTTCTAATGCAATTGATGTTCTGGGATAAAAAGTTGTTTTTTTTTTTCCGCCTCCCATGTTGAGGAAAGCTTCACATAGGGTACCAAAGGCCCAAAGACAGACAAGTCAAGGGAGCAGGAAAGTTGTGAAGTCAGAATACGTGCAGGAGATAAGCCGTTTATCTGTCTCCTTATAGAAACCTTGACGCAATGCAGAGTCACTGTTGATGGCAGTAGTTTGCATAAGGCTTAGTGAATAAATACTAACACTTTGGGTGAACTGTAATTCCTTTTCTTAGACTGAAAGTTAGAACATTATCCTCTAAATTAGGATGTGCTTTGTCTATTTTGTATCTTAGTCTATCTTCTTTACTAAGAATCAAGTGACTCATAAATCCGTAAAATGAGCTGATCCTAAGTATCCAAAATAGAGTGTGAACTGTACCTTCAAGTTTATTGCTCTGAAATACTCAACCATGTACTAAACATATTTTATGTGTCCCAATGATACTCTTTATTTGCAAGTTATATTAGAAGCTGCTTCATCATTCTGCCTTTGGTCTCTGCCTACTACTTTCTGCACCAAATTTTCACTTTCTCTCCTCCTTAAAAACAACCCAACGTTTTGTTTTGCGTTCACATTACTGGCCTTCATAAACTTATATATAAGGAGAACTGCCTCCTGCCCTCCCTAACAAAAGAACCTCTCCCCCCACCAAACCCAACAATCCAGAGTGGGAATAGCTGCAATTATGTTCATTACGTTCCTGATCGCTCTGCTGGTATACCTCCTGAAGCAAACACAGGCTGCTCATCTTCGCAACCATGATACGTGTTTCATAATTTGGGTAGAAGCTTGGCAATCACTGAACACCAACCATACCTCACAATTAAAAACGCTGTGAGATCACAAAAGAGAATGCTCCCCCCTCTTTGTGAAGTTGTGCCTGGCAAATTAATTAACACAGAGCTGCAGTCAGCTTTTGTACAGAAGCTGTAAACACATACAAGGTGCCATCCAAAGGTTAAAAGAGCAGTGGAAAGTAAAAGCATTTCTGCACTGAGGAGCTGAGTGCAGAAAAGGAGAAGGGCAACCAGCACACGCATTTTATAGCACACACAGATTTGTGCTGCGTGTTTACAGATTACACTTTGATTTATTGAACCAAAGTTCAGAAAGCAGCCCTCATAATCATGCCCACAAAAGTGATTGTTCAGCCTGGCATAAATGCATGCATAAACCAGCTAAGAAGGTATGCCATGTCTGTCATCTGGTCTTTACGCTTGAATGATGTTTCTGCATTTGTGTTTTTAGAGCACACCTTTGGAACTGCAGCCCCTGGTCGGCCCTATGTCATTTTGCTAGCTCAAGGCATGTCACTTGCACACTGTCAATGCCAGGATCTATCATCCTTTTATTTCTACTTGCATTATCTGTCTTAACATTTAACTACATTTCCTCTGCTTGCTTATTTTAAGTAGCTTCTTCCTTCCCCTTTGATAGTGTCTCTGCAGACTCTCTTCCATGCACATGCTCTTCTTACTGACTTGATAAATGTTACTTAAGACTTCCCTCTTCCTAAACTGTAAAAATTCTCAATCATTAAATGGGATGTAAGCAGAAGTATTTTTCTACATTTATTTCTTTTCTGAAACACCTCCTTTGCAGCATTTCTGTGCTTTGTATTAAACCAAACTTACTGAATTATATTGCATTGACTTAGGCAAATTCCAGAACGAATGCTTCTGATACCACATACACCCTCCCACACTATCTTTATCTACATTTGCATCCTTTCTTTTCACTGATTCCTACAGTAGAGCTTGTATCCTTTGCTGCAAAACTAAATCCAACACCTCCCTATGTTCTATCAGATGTACTATTTTGAAGAGGACGTTATTTCCCTGGTAGTTCAGATGGACCTCTTGGCCATGCTCCATGCACTACAAAAATTCCATTAGGCCTTTATAATTTGTAAATGTCTACTTTTTTCTTTCCTACTTTAAAGTACAGGCTTAGGTTTGCCCTTATCATTTGCGGTCTTGTCCAGACTGAAGCAGATGTAATACCACATGTTTACCCAGGATATATAACTCCATTTCTGCCCCTCTCCCACACACCCGAGGTATCTGGGATTAAAGACATTTTGGAAAACACATTTGGGTAATCATGGTTCATCACACACAGGCTCACACAAAAAATGAATTAACTCTCCACACCCCAAACCAAAAAGGAACCTGCCAAAAGATCCAAAAGCACAATACACTTGATAGGACTGTATCAGCTACAGCACATTTAACAGACTGAAGAGGAAAGATGGGGAAGTAAGAGAAGGGAGGTTAAACTGCTTCAATATTAGTGGACACTGCAGACAGGGAGGAAATGGCAAGTGTTAGTGCAGAAAAGTAACAAGACTTTTTTGAGTACATATTAAAGAGTAGAACAGGCAGCAAAGACATTATGCACTATGAGAACTTGCTGGAATTATTAGTTTATTAAAATCACATGAAAGCCAAAGGAAGATTACATTTTTACCCATTTATGTGTGTTTCTGTGGAACCACTACTGAAAAGTGGTTCCTCTTTAGGAAAAGAAAGATGAGAATGAGCTACTTCAGTTTGGCTTCATCTGAGATGTTCTGGTTTGTAGAACTAAGCCGAAACAATCAGTTTGATATTAACCTCCTTATGTGTGGTCCAGCATTTCGGAGATAATGTATCTAGTCACACACAAAAAGGCCCTGGTGCATCACAAGAGACTGAAATATAAGTATAAACATAAGAGGTAATGTAGTCTCTTCAAAGGACCCAGTCTGTGAAGAAAGAATGACAGTATGAATCACTAGAATTTCTTGTCCCAGGAGGCACTGTGCTACTGCTAGCAGATGCATTACAGTGTCACATTAATAGCATTTTTTTTGCCATGCATTCAAGCAAAATTTCTTTCAGAACTTTTCATCTGAAATTTGGGACAAAACCATAGTTAAAATACTCAGATTTCCTGTGAAATGGAAATTCTGACATTTTTTTCTCCTCTGCAGAGATTACCGGTAAGGAGGAAAAGAACAAGCACCAGTTACTGGTTTGAGTAAGTGTCACCTATCAAACAACTGGCACTGAGGTCAAAGTGTACACATTTCCACACAGATAGGACCATGACATGAATATATTATGTCACAATAAATTACATAAGAGAACTATAAAATTTTCCAAAAGACTGCTACAGAGTGGATGGCAAGAACCCTTTTCACATGGAACACTATCCTTTTTAGAAAGGTTTCAGATTAATAGAAACACTCACACTTCAGCATCCTGCACATACAGGCTCGGAGAAAAAGCAAACGTAAACATGAACTTTGGAGAAAGATTAACTTCTCAGACCCTATCACATAAACCACTCACACAGATTTACACACCCTCAGTCACTCTGATTTGTGCTACACCACAAGAATTCACATAAACCCCTATTTTTTTTTAGGCAGCTTGCCACACGATCCTGTCAAGTATCTCTGAGATGCTTTGAAATTGTTATTGCTACATCCACTAGATACACTTTTCAGCTCTAGAGAACTGCTACTAAAATCAGTAATTTGGATTATACTGAAGATGCAGAAAGCTAACTTGACCTATGGTTTCTCTAACCTGTGTCATAGGGCACAAATCAGGTTTTAATCAATGCTTTTTCGCCTTTCTGGGAAACACGGAGTTCCTTCTTTCTCCTGCTTTACTCTACCAGGTTCATGGTGGGTCTGTGCCACAATGACCTTACACCAAGCTCAGAAGAACCACGTAAAATGCTCCTTCAAATACAGAAAAACTGGTTTGTACAAAGTCCACAGATACCCTTTTATAGGAGTGTTGAGCACAATGGCTCTGCACCCTCTTGCAATGGTTCAGATCTTAAAGAGTGTTTAAAGAGTTGCTTTCTTTTCAGCTTAGAGTGGGTGCCAATCTTCATACTCATACAGACACACGTCTAAACTCTTCCTTGAGTGCCTTACTGTAAGAATCTATTGTTTTTTGCCTATTTGTTTGTTCCCTCAAATGGTCATTTTCCAAGTTCAAGGTAGCAAGTTAAGGGGTTTCTATGGAAATTTTACTTCAGCACTCCAGAAAACAACACATTTTGCTGTAGTTAACTACTATATATACTTGATATCGTGCACTGAATTTCAGGTGCTACATTCAAGGACATCTGCTGAGAGTAAAGCACTTATCTCTCCTTCATCTTATTATCCAGTGGAAAGAACGTCTTGCTATTGCAAATGGTAAATATCTAAAAGAAGGCAGAACTGGATTACTCGTTGTTTACGTGTTTTCTAGTGATATAAAACACTGTGGTCCAAGGTCTCCAGAAGCCCATACATGTTTAAACCCTAGGGTGTGGGTTTGCAGTGCATAAACCATACTTGACTCAGAATCCACACACTTTTGTGAAATTTCATTCTAATTGTTTGGTTGGTTGGTTGTTTTTTTTTTCCAGTATAAATTAGTGCTGGGTTTTTAAAATGACATTGGTAGAAAAATCTGCATTGACCGTTTGATAACAACTTCTGCTTCAGATTCCTACGCTGAAAACCTGCAAAGGTTTTAAGTTATGTAGCTGTGATCTCCCATCAAA